GTAGTAGTAGTAGTAGTAGTAGTAGTCGTAGTAGTAGTAGTTGCAGTAGTAGTAGTAGTAGTAGTAGTAGTAGTAGTAGTAGTAGTAATAGTAGCAGTAGTAGTACCAGTAGGAGTAGGCGTAGGAGTAGGAGTAGGAGTACTTGTAGTAGTGTTAGTAGAAGGTAGTAGTGGTAGTAGTATCAGCAGTAGTAGTCGTGGTACTAGTATTCGTAGTAGTTGTAGTAGTAGTAGTAGTAGTAGTAGTAGTCGTCGTAGTAGTAGTAGTAGTAGTACGAGTAGTAGTAGGAATAGGAGTAGTGGTAGTAGTAGCAGTCGTGTTTGCAGTAGTACTACTTTTTCTTAGTAGTAGTTGTGGTAGTAGTAGCTGTAGTTGTAGTTGTAGTAGTAGTAGTAGTAGTAGTAGTAGTTATTGTTGTAATAGTAGCAGTAATAGTTGTGGTAGTAGTAGTAGTAGTAGTAGTAGTAGTAGTAGTAGTAGTAGTAGTGGTAGTAGTAGTAGTAGTAGTAGTAGTAGCTAGTAGCAGTAATAGTTGTGGTAGTCGTAGTAGTATTAGTAGTAGTAGTAGTAGCAGTAGTAGTAGTGGTAGTAGTACTAGTAGTAGTAGTAGTAGTAGTAGTAGTAGTAGTAGTAGTAGTAGTAGTAGTAGTAGTAGTAGTAGTAGTAGTAGTAGTAGTAGTAGTAGTAGTAGTAGTAGTAGTAGTAGTAGTAGTAGCAGTAGTAGTATCATTGCGAGTAGACGTAGGAGTAGGAATAGGAGTACTTGTAGTCGTGTTAGTAGAAGGTAGTAGTGGTAGTAGCATCAGTAGTAGTAGTCGTAGTACTAGTACTCGTAGTAGTAGTAGTAGTAGTAGTAGTAGTGGTAGTAGTAGTAGTAGTAGTAGTAGCGGTGGTAGTGGTAGTGGTAGTGGTAGTGGTAGTGGTAGTGGTAGTAGTAGCAGTAGTAGTAGCAGTAGTAGTAGTAGTAGTAGTGGTAGTAGTAGTAGTAGTAGTAGTCGTCGTCGTAGAAGTAGAAGTAGTAGTAGCAGTAGTAGTCGTAGTAGTCGTAGTAGTAGTAGTAGTAGTAGTAGTAGTAGTAGTAGTAGTAGTAGTAGTAGTCATTAGTCGTAGTAGTAGTAGTAGTAGTAGCGTAGTAGTAGTCGTAGTAGTAGTAGTAGTAGTAGTAGTAGTAGTAGTAGCAGGAGTAGTAGCAGTAGTAGTAGTAGTGGTAGTAGTAGTAGTAGTAGTAGTAGTAGTAGTAGTAGTACGCCGAGGCGGGCTACGTCCACTGCATGGGTGCGTACTGGGCCCCGCCGCAGCGCCTGGGCTGGTGTCGGGTGTGCACAGAGCTGGACGACTGGAAGATCATGATGGTGGAGTACGTGGACGAGCTCAGTTGCGGGGAGATCCGCCGCCACGCTGAGGCTTCAGAGCGCAACCAGAAGCACCCCGCGTTGCGGAGGGGCAAAGAGGGGCAGTACAAGTAGTACACGTGCTCGCGCAGCGTGGCGACGGCGCAGAACATCACCGAGCAGGAGGCCGTGACGCGCGCAGCGCGCCTGAACAAGGGCGCAGGCTCCATCGACCACGCCGCCAAGCGAGTGGCGAAGTTCCGTGCGAGCTTCGGCCACATCAAGGAGGGCATGGACGTGCTGTTGGGATTCGCGCTCTCCGAGGAAGGCTTGCTTGCCCTGCGGAGGCCAACGGAGGGCGTAGGGGTGGGCATCGATCCCGAGAGCACGGGTGCCCCCCCAGCCACGGAAGCGGTGGCGGAGGAGGTCGGTCGCCCGATGGCGATGGAGGTGGGGGCGGTGCCGGGGCCGCCCCGTGCGCCACCCCCACCCCTCGAGGATGGACCTCCCCGTGGCGAGGAGAACGACCCCCAGCCCGACATCGATGCTGAGGACCAGGGGCGCCAGCTGACCGACGTCAAGACCGTGGAAGAGGTCACGGACATCGAGCCCCTGCTGCGGCTCGGCCTCTCCGAGGGATCGCTGAAGCGTATGGCGCGGCCCTATGGCGTCCTCGAATTCGAGACCATGCGCACCCACATGCTGGGAGGCCCGGGGCCCATCTCGGAGAAGAAGGAGGACATGGTGAGGGGCGCAGTGGCGCAGGGCGGAGTCCAGAAGTGGCTCGGCGCGCTGAACGAGGAGGCAGAGGAGGATGTGGGAAGGCTGAAGAAGGGCGCCCTGGAAGCCTCGGGGATCGCGGACGCGCACCTGGGACACAAACGTGCCTGGTGGGAGGGCTGCCAGGGCAACGCCGCGGCGCAGGAGGCCGACCGACGCATGGGCGACTACGCGGGCCAGTTCTACCGTGGCAAGGGCTTCACGTTCAACATGTACTACAAGTGCTCGGCCAACAAGACCTGGGACAACCCCAGGGGATGCTGCTCAGTGATCCGATCGGATCGCTGGGCGCAGCTGCTCACCTGCGCGCAGGAGGCGGCGGGGAGGGCGGGCCAGCGCTGGTGCTGCCATTGCGGTGCGCGCTACTCGACCTCCTACGGCGTCTGCATCGAGTTGATAGAGGAGGAGCTGAACCCGCCACGCGCGTGCTACATGCACGCGGAACACCCCGAGGAGTACATCCGCGACTTGAAGGCCCTGCTGCGCCACGACGAGCTCAAGAAGGAGGAGATGCCTGTGTTCAGCGCGGTGGACCTCCTGCAGTACCTGCCCAAGGTCGAGCCGCTGGCAGTGGGCGCCGTCTTCAAGCGCTACGCCCCACACCGGCCGCAGTGGGAGGGCCACTATGCGCTGATGGATGGGGCTCTCCTGGGAGAGCCTGGCCGAGTTCAAGCGGGCCGACCTGTGCGCGCAGGTCGCCAGGGGGCTGAACGGCCCAGAGTGGGCGGGCTACAGCGAGAAGTCGAAGAATAAGGCCAAGAGGGAGCGCCTGGAGATGGCGCACAGGGAGCTGGCGCTCTACGAGCGCCGCCACAACCTGCGGGAGGGCAGCCTCGCGGGCGGCGGGGGTGGCACAGGGGTCGCCCCGCGCGCCGCCCCCGCCCGCACCGCCAGTGCCCTTCCAGCGGGGGGGGGGGGGCGCGGCGGCCAGGGCCCGCCACCGCCGCCCGTCGGGGCCCCGCCAGCGGCCATCATGGCCCCTCCGCCGCCGCCGCGGACGGCCCCCCCAGTGGCGCCGCCGCCGCCGACGGACCCGCCGCCGCCGACGGACCCGCTCCCGCAGCAGATTTCAAATGTTGCAGCCCTGAACGTGGCCCTCGGCGAAGATCTCGAGCGCCAGATCTTTGGGCCCTCAGGGCAGGCGGGCGGCAGCGGCGACCTCGGGGGGGAAGTGCAGGCGCGGCCGTCGCAGGTCTTCGCAGCCATTGCGCAGGGAGCAGGCCAGCCCGCCTGAATGATGAAGCCCGGCAGGTTCCATGCCCTCGGCAGGCCACGTGAGTCCATGCCAAGAGCTCGCGCCTGCCACTCCCAGTAGTGCGGCGTGCCCACAGCGGCACCCCCCTCGCGTGGCAGCACCTGTGGCTTTAGCCTCCGCTCGGCGTACGGTCATCCGTGCGTCTAGCTACTCTGGCCTGCCAACTGGCTTGCCATCTTGGCCTCCTCTCACGCTCACTTGCGCTCGTGAGCCTCGCTGTCGCGACGCCGTTGGGCGCCTTGCCATTTTGGCTTGCCATCCTGGCCTCCTCTCGCGTCTTCTTGCGCTAGTTGGCCTCGATGGCGGTACTGGCGTCGCCCCGCGTGCTGCTGCACCGCCGCTGGCGCTTCACTTTGGGCCGTAGGGGCCAGCTGCCCTCGGTCAAGCGCCTGCTGCTGCATGCGCGTCAGACCCGCCCTTGGCTTGCCATCCTGGCCTCCTCTCGCGTCTTCTTGCGCTAGTTGGCCTCGATGGCGGTACTGGCAATGAGGCAGCCACAAGGGCGCTCTTCCCAAGGTGGTTAAGCCGTGGTGACGTGGTGCACGAGACCGCCAGTACTAGTAGTAGTAGTAGTAGTAGTAGTAGTAGTAGTAGTAGTAGTAGTAGTAGCAGTAGCAATCGTAGTAGTAGTAGTAGTAGTAGTAGTAGTAGTAGTAGTAGTAGTAGTAGTAGTAGTAGCAATAGTAATAGTAGTAGTAGTAGTAGTAGTAGTAGTAATAGTAGTAGTAGTAGTAGTAGTAGTCGTCGTAGTAGTAGTAGTAGTAGTAGTAGTAGTAGTAGTAGTATTGGTGGTGGTGGTGGTGGTGGTTGTGCTGGTGGTGGCGGTGGTGGTGGTGGTGGTAGTAGTAGTAGTAGTGGTAGTAGTGGTCGTGGTGGTGGTGGTTGTGGTGGTGTTGGTGGTGGTAGTAGTAGTGTAGTCGTAATAGCAGGAGGAGGAGGAGGAGGAGGAGGAGGAGGAGGAGGAGGAGGAGGAGGAAGAGTACTATTAGTAGTAGCAACAGTAGTAGAGGCGCCAACGAGGTGCTGACGGGCGGCACTCGCCGAACAGCTGCCACGCCCACCCAACTCACGGTGCACCCGCGAGGTGTTCACCGCCGAGCACCAGCCGGCACCGTGGCTGACGCATCCGAGTGTTCAGCAGCACACAAAGCACTTCTAAGGACAATCACCTCTAGACTTTCTCCTCCTCCTCCTCCTCTTTCTCCTCTTCTTTCTCCTTTTCCTCCTTCTCCTCCCCCTCTGCCTCCTCTACTCCCTCCTCCTCCTCCTCCTCCTCCCTCGGCCCTGCCGTCTCCTCCTCCTCCTCCTCCTCCTCCTCCTCCTCCTCCTCCTCCTCCAACCTCCAACCTTTCCCTCCTCCTCCTCCTCCTCCTCCTCCTCCTCCTCCTTCTCCTCCCCCTCGAGGTGCAGGAGGAGGAAAAAGGAAAAGGGGAAGGGGAGAAATAGGGTTACAATCCGTGCATTCTCAAGGAAACGCAGGGTCACAAAACAGAGGGAACGGGAGGGGGTGGGACAAGGGATGAGGCGTGAAGGGCAAGGGGAGGGGTGTGAGCCAGACGGGGTGGGCATGATGAGGTGGGGGGGGCTCTGTAGAGAAAAGGGGGGGAGGCTGGGTGGGAGGATAGAAAGTGGAGGCGCGGCGGATAGCTGTTGGCTACTTCATCTTGGGCGAGGAGGACGACATGTACATATCCGACTCGGCCGTCGATCAGATCGAGGACCAGGCAGTGCTGGAAACATTGGCGTGCCTGCTCCAGAGAATGATCGCAGACCCAGAGAGCCTGGGATTCTTCAGCCTCAATCTGCAGGACGACGAGTTCCGCGACACGCTCGGGCAGTGCGACGAGTCAGTGGATTTTCTCGAAGAGCACGGCTTCCAAACGATGGAGGAAAACGGCGCGACGTTCCTGGTATTCATACAGGAGGGGGCGGACGTTACTGGGCTCTGTGACGCTCTGAAAGAGGTGCAGGCGCGGCAGGGGAGACTGGCCAGAAACCAGCAGCCTGCCAGCGTGCCTGCAGCAACCAGCTTGCTGGAGTCTGGCGCCACAGATTCCATCGCCGCCGATTCAAACGTCAACGCTGTAGAAACGACACCAGCGGAGCCAAGCGCAGCGGAGTCGAGCGTGGTGGAGTCCAACGTGGTGGAGTCGAACGCTGTGGAGCCGAACGCGGTGGAGTCCAATGTTGTGGAGTCTGGCGCGGTGGAGTCGAACGTGGTGCGGTCTGGCGGTGCGGAGCCCAGCGTGGTGGAGTCTGATGCGGTGGAGTCGAACGCCGTGGAGTCCAACGCAGTGGGGTCGAACGCTGTGGAGCCCCACGTGGCGGAGCCGCCGCCCGACGAGGTGGAGCTGCTCGCCCGAGCGGCAAGCGAGGCTCGGGCGGATGCCGCGGGCGGCCGCCACCGAGGAGCCGGCACTGGCAGGGCCGGCAAGGGCCGGGGCAAGGCGAAGCATCGAAGAGCAAACATCGGCATAAGCATACAGCCAACGACTAGCAGTGTTGAGCGATGTTCCAATGTTCCAAGGTCGCCCTCGCATCCTGCCTCTTCGGCCCATCCCTGGACACTTCGCTGGCCGCGCCCCGCTCGAAAAGTGTCGGCATGGCCTTCAAGGCTATTGCATTCTCATCGTGCATCCGTGCCTTGACTAATGTCTTGAGGTCCGTGCGGGTTTCTTGGATCGGCGCCGGGCCCCCCTGGTGGTGCCTCCAGCGCCGCCCACAGCGCGCTCCGCGCGCCAGGGAGGCGGGGCCAGCGCCGTTGCTAGAGACCCGCGCGGGCCCCCCCAGACATCCTCAGAAACGCGCAGAGGGGGGTGTGGGGGGGGGGAGGGCTTCTTAGAAGCATCCCTGATGTATAGATAGATGAAAGGCCGGCGATTTCTAAGAAGCAGGTTCCTTCTAAGAAGCCCTGCCCCCTCCCTCCACCCCCTTGTGCGCGATATGATTTTTTTCAATCCGCCGCCCCGTGGGTGTTTTTTTGGCCCCGGATCTACTTTTGATGGTCCCTGGGCCCGATCACGGGCTTCGGAGGCCGAAATCCAGGATGAACCGCCGGATTGATAATCTTATCTATACGACCACCCTGCGGGTGATAAGGAGGTTGGGAGGGGGAGGGGGGCCAGCAATGGGCAACAGTGGTGATTGTTGCGTTGCCGCTCGCTCTTGGGACCATCGATCCCACTATCGATCTCACTCGATCGATCTCACTCGATCGATTTCACTGTCGATCTCACTGGATCTCGCTATCGATCCCACTATCGATCTCCTTATCGATATCACTCGATCTCACAAACGATATCACTATTCATCTCACTATCGATCGCACGATCGATCTCACGATCGATCTCACTATCGGTCTCACTATCGATCTCACTAACGATCTCACAATCAATTTCGTCATCAGTGTCACTACCGTTTTCGCACCAGCGGGACACCGGGACACCGGCGGGACATCGGCGGGACACCGCGGGCCACCGCTTGCCGGAGGGAGAATCATTTGGTTCGGCCGGGATCCAGCCACAAGCGGGACACCAGCGGGACACCAGCGGGACACCGGAGGGACACCGCGGGCCACCGCTTGCCGGAGGGAGAATCATTTGGTCCGGCCGCGCCTCAGCCCGCCCGCGCAGCTTCGTCTCGCCCGCACGCACGGCACGCACGAACACGAAACCGAAACCGATTTCCCAGTGGGGGGCTCTCCGTTCCACTTCGATCTTACCCCCCAACCTCCGATCTTGGCGAAGGACCCAATGATATTCAAGCAGTGGCGAAGCGTCCTAGCTCGCCTATAGACCGACCAAATAATGTTCTAAGAACCTTTTGTGGTTTCAACGGGATGTTCTTAGAACATTTCTGGTTGGAACTGTCTTGTTTTAACACATCAGGTTTACGTTCTAAGAACATGCTTGTTGATAAGGACATTTCGTGGTAGGCCTCTAGGAATGCCGGGACGGTCGGTCCCTGCTCAACATATGCAGTTGTGAGTAAGTGTCGCCGTTGTGAAAAACACCTTCGGTGGAGCTCACTACGGGACCACGAAACGCGTGAAGGGAGCGCCGAAATGAAGCGGAGCCCCCATGTTGGCGCTGCCGCTGGGGCCGCCCGCAGGGGGCGCGGAGGTCAGACGAAACGGGTTAGATGCTGACGTAGCCCGTTGCGGCTGACAAGCGCCGGGAGAAGCAGGAGAAGACATGCGGGCGCAGCATGCGAGCGCAGCCATTGTGGCCTTCGGTGGAGCTCCCTAGGGACGTGTGAAGGGTGTGCCAAAGTGGGGCCACGAAGCATGGAGGGGTGTGCCAACGTGAGGGAGTCGGCGTGCGAACGCAGCCAATGGAGCCTTCGGTGGAACTCCCTATGGGGCTACGAAGCGTTCGAGGGGTGTGCCAAATTAAGTGGGGTGGCGGCATGCGAACGCAGCCACTGGCACCTTCGGTGGAGCTACCGATGGGGCGGCAAAACGTGTGAGGGGTTTGCCAAAATGAGGGGGGTGCCGGCATGCGAACGCAGCCATTGGGTCCTCAGGTGTAGCTCCTCATGGGGCCACGGTGTGTGTGTGTGTGTGAGGGGTATGCCTTAGTGGAGGGGGGGGATGGCATGCGAACGCAGCCACTGGCGCCTTCGGTGAAGCTCCCCACGGGGCTGCGACGTTCGAGGGGTGTGCCAAAGTAAGGGGGGGGGCGGCGTTCGAACGCAGCCATTCGCGCCTTCGGTTGAGCTCCCTATGGGGCCACGAAACGTGTGACGGGTGTGCCAAAGTGAGGGGGGTGGTGGCATGCGAACGCAGCCATTGGGTCCTCAGGTGTAGCTCCTTATGGGGGCACGAAACGTGCGAGGGGTGTGCCAAAGTGAGGGGGGGGGCGGCATGCGAACGCAGCCACTGGCGCCTTCGGTGGAACTCCCTATGGGGCCGCGAAGCGTGTGAGGATTGGGCCAAATTGAGGGGGTCGACGGGGGTGCCGAACTTGTTGACATGCGGAGGGCAGAGCCTAGGAGCCTAGGGTTGGAGAAGGGAGGAGCGGGAGGAGGAGAAGAGGAGAGGAGAGGAGTAGGGGGGTGCGCGGGGACTGTCTCTTCAAAACGAGGACCCAACACCACAGGATGGTTGGGCATCACATCCTCGGATCTCTGGGTCCGAGAAGTCGTGCTTCTGCCGCTGGGTGCTCCTTGCAAGAAGCCTGCTGGCCAGAGGCCCGACGGGCAGAGCCGCAGCCGGGAGGCTGCGGAGGCCGGCACCGAGGCGGGCGCCGGCGCTCAGCCAGCCGCCCCCGGCCGGACCCCCACGCGTCGTGAAGAGAGTCAAGATTCGGAGGAGGCAAAGGTACCCATGCAGCGACACTCCGCCCGTTCTCCTTTTGGGGGCCTCTTGGGAGGCCCTCGTCGCCGCCGCTGGATTCGCCTCGAAATCCTTGTCAGAACGCACCCGGGGAGAAGCGGTATCGGTACCTCTTGGTTTCCAGAAAGACGAGAGGTTTTTACAATTTTCGGCCTCGGGGGGTCCTCGTTGTGTCCGGGAACGGTGCAAAAAGGCTCGGGATGGAAAGCCGATCCCAGGGAATGGGTCGAGATTTCTTCTAGGGCCAAGGGTCGACGTTATGAAAGAATCATGACGGCGGGAGAGTGTTTTCACCCTCTGGGCCATAACGCGCGTGGTGTCCCCCCCCTTCCGCCCCATAACGTAACGCTCCCCACCCCACTGCGTCGCCAGCACTGCCGCAGGGCGTCCAGCACCACCGCCTGTGGTGCCGCACCCACACGGCGGGGGGGGGCGCGTTACGTTATGCCTCCTTTACCGCCCGCCGCAAATAATGAAATCGGCGTCGGGCGTCGCCCTAGCATATTCATACCATGTATGCGTCGCCCCCCAGGGGCGACGCGCGCACCGAGAAATCTTATAGTCTATGCTCGTGGCGGGCGCCTTCTGGCCACACCGCGCGGAAGACGATGTACTATACTGGTATATTATAGGTTCGGGTCACACGCGCGTCACCAAGGATAACACACAGTACTAGTCTTTGTGAGCCCCATGAAATTCAGGAGGGGAAGAACACACAGGAAACATGGACAAGTATAGGGAATCCTGGGAACTGTGTGTGTGTTTTTTTTTTTTTTTGTGTGTGTGTGTGTGTGTCCTTGGGCCCCTTTAGAAATGCTCTCCGGGGGTCTGGGCCCAGGGGTACCTCCTCGTGCTGCCGTCGGGCGAGAGGGTCGCCGCCGATCTCGAGGAGGACACCCTGGAGTGCCTGCTGAGGTCCGCGAGGAAGAGGATCGGGGGGACCGAGCTGGTAACTGCGGGGCCCAAGAATAGACGTCACTCAGGCGATCGCAACCATGGATCAAGGGGGCGTGGATTAGCGACGGGTCCCGTTTCCATTGGACATCGCGGATTTCCGCCGCCGAGCGAGGCGGCACCGGCCGCACTTTGGGAATGGATTTGGCGACCGCGCGCCAACCCCATGGATCGCTAATCCATGTTTGCGCGCCCCCGAGGGGATGAAGGTGGTGATGGTGTATACGGTGGAGACCCATGCCAAGAAGCACCCTGCTTGCCTCCAGGGCGCGGGGGGGTTCTTCAGTTTCGATGGTTCTGCCATGGAGAGCGTGACGTTCCCATTCCAAAAATCCATGGACGTCCTGAGGTCTCAGGGTTGGGTTTCCTGTGGAAAGTTTCTCGTGGACTGGCCTCCACTGTGCATCACCACCGCCTCCCTCACCCCTTCCCTCTCCCAGGAGAGGAGAGGAAGAAGAGGCTTGAGGAGGCGAGGGGGGGAGGGTGGTGATGGTGCATGTATTCTTGGCACCCGCAGCTACGGACACGGTGGGCACGCAGACCAACAGCGGCGCCGGTCCATCTTGAGCAGGAATCGGTGTCGGCGTCGCCGCGCACGTGTCCATTTTAGACAGGAGTCCGCCTGCCCAACAGCGGCCGATGTCGGTTTTGAACAACATTTGTTGTTGTACATCGTAGCCATTTTGTCTGTACAGCAGGCATCGAACGACCAGTGGCGACCCCGCCGCCGGCGTTCAACGTTGAACACCGCCGGCGACCCAGAATCGGTCGATGTTGAACGGTCTGACGTTTACGAAACGGTGGGATCCCCGCGGTGTCAGAAACCAACGACGACGTCGGCACGACGCGAACTTGCCATAGCCTTATGATGTTCGAACCTACTTTAGCCTTGATCACCAACAAGAACTTCGAGCACCTGGAGATTTCGCGTGTCGGGCCCTGGGAGGCGACACTCGTTCGACATTGTTTTGCATTGCTATGGGTGCTCGAAATTATTTCTGGGATGTGGTCCTGAAGCGCGATGGGAGCAACAGAACAAAAGCCACTTCGGGCGCCCAGAGAGGAGCGGCCTGCGGCTGCCTGCAGTGCAGGTCAGCCCGCCGGGGGGGAGGCCGCTGCCCGTGGGCTTGGCCGCGGCCCCAGGCGCCACGCTGCGGCAGGCCGCGCAGCTGCAGCCGGGCGACCGGCTCGCCGTCAGCGACTTCGAGCCCGTCTTCGTCTCGAAGAAGAAACAACGCCATGCACATGAACTTTTGGCGCTCCGCGCGGATTTCTTGGATCCGCGCTGGGGCCCCTCTGGCGGCGCCTCCGGCGCCACCCCTGGCGGGCTCCGCGCGCCAGGGAGAGGAGTCCAGCGCAGATCCAAGAAGTCCGCGCGGAGTGCCAAAAGTTTATATCGGTGGCCTTGATTCTTCTTCGATCGTCAGCAGGCTACAGGGTGGCATCCTGCGGGTCCAGGACAAGCACCGTCTCAGAGCCCCGAATCATCACGGGTGATTCGGGTCAGGGCTAACTCGGGTGCGTTTTTCGGGAGTACGAACCCGAGTTGCCCCAGGCCCGAGCTCACCCGGATAATTCGGGCGTCCAGAGCCCCAAATCATCAGGGTAATTGGGGTCAGTGCTAACTTGGGCTCGGTTGTCGGAAATCCAAACCCGAGTTAACCCGGACCCGAGTTACCCTGGATAGCTCGGGCGCCCAATCGTCCCACCTGTCCTTCAGATCTTGGCGTTCCGATGTTTCGAGCTGGACGTCTGCGCTCTGTTTCGGGCCCTGGGACCTTCACAGATCGATCAGGTTCCAAAAATGGCGCAGAAGCATGGGGTCTGGGGCTCTAGCCGTGATTACCTATAGATGTAAGGCCAGCGCCTTCTAAGAAGCAGCCTCCTTCTAAGAAGCCCTCCCCCCTCCCTCCACCCCCTGTGAGGGAGCCTGTGAGCCTCGCGAAGGCTTCGCGGATGCGATCGCCTCCCCCCCCCCCGGGGGGTCGGGGCCTCGTGGGCGTGGCGGCCTGGCGTGGTGGAGAGGGGGTGCCGGTGCGGTGCCCCCCGCCCCTCCCCCTGTGGGTGTGGGGTGGTGCTGGCCGGCGTCGGTGGACGCGGCGGCGTCGGCGTCGTCGTCGGCGTCGTCCTCGTCGTCGGCGGCGGCGTCGGTGGCGGCGGCGGCGGCGGCGTCGGCGTCGTCCTCGGCGTCGGCGTCGGCGTCGTCCTCGTCATCGGCGTCGGCGGCGTCGGTGTCGGCGTCGTCGTCCCCCCTCCCCATTCCATCCTTGGGGGGGGGGCTTGTGGAACCTGGGGCCCATCCCATTCCGTCCCTGGAGCCCGGGGGGGGCCTGTGAACCCTCAACCCAGGGTCACATGTCCCCACCTACAGGCATCGGCCTGACCTAGTCAAGCAACAATGAAGAAGGAACGAGGCCTCTCTTTTCCAAGGAATAAGGCATAAGGAACGATGAGTGATACATAAAGCATAAGGAGCGACAAATAACGCATGCAAACCTAAGGATCGACCGAGCCCATTTTGAAAAGCAAGTGTTCTGTATTCAGGCCGCTCACTGTAGGCGGGTAATTTGGCCAGTGGGGCCAAGGCAACCCCAGTGGGCAGACGGATTGGTTAAACGATGCTCGCAGGACTTGGCCTGCGTGGCGCCGCTGCTGGACTGGGGGCGGCCCGAGCTCCTGAAGCTGCTGACGAACAGGCTCCGCGCGCTGCTGGAGGGCCCCTGCGCGTCGTGGTGCGAGGCCGCTGGCTGCGAGCCAGAGGATTGGCGCCGGCTAGGGGGCCGAGGTGGCCCAGCATGGGGTCCGGCCGGCCAGCAGAAGGGGGGGGGGGTAGAGGGGATCCCCCAAACCAGGTGGCAGGTGGCGAGATGTCAGGTGGAATCCCCAAAGAGCCAGCGCCGGGTTTGGGGGCACGGGGTCGCCAACGGCACGTGCGACTCCTGGACCCACCGGCGTTCGGGACATCCTCGAAAAACCACACGAGTCCCCAAACCCGGTGGTGACACCAAATCGCCCGAGACTCACCGCCGGATGTTGTCACAACCACGTCCGCGGCCGGACGCGGCTCCATAAATTCGTCGGTTTGGACCTGGGGAGGGATCCAGGGACCGATTCTGAGTGGATTTGGGCTGGTCCCTCCCTCTCGACCGATTTTCTCGGAGCCCATCCAGCGCAGACCCCCCAACAGCTTCCAACCAGAGGACGAGCTGGCGTGTGGGCTCGCGCTGTTGCGTCGCCTCTATGGGAGCCAGCCGGTGGAGGCACGTGTGGAAGCCTTCCGCAGACTTTTGCCAGAGGCCAGGGGCACGAAGGCGGTCTTGAAGGTGGACCGCGCGAAGTTGATCGAGAGTGCCGTTACCGGCCTGAGGAGATTCTCTCGCCAGGAGCTGCGAGGGGCCTTCTCCGTGGAGTTCCTCGGCGAGACCGCGGAGGACCACGGCGGACCCCGCAGAGACTTCTTCGGCCACTTTGGCACCCAGCTCTGTGCGGAGTTGCCCGTGTTCTGGAGAAGGACGCCGCTGAACATGATGGTGCCCACCACCGACATGGCCGCCGAGCTGTCCCCGAAGGACGTCCCGGACCTGGAGGACGTGCCCAGTGTCTACCGCTCGTGCGGGCGCGCCTGCGGGCTGGCCCTCAAGCACGGGGACGTCATCGGCGACGAGTTCGCCGAGTTCTTTGTCCACCAGGTCGTTCGAGACAAGCGCGTCACCCTCAGGGAGCTTCAGAGGCAGCGGGGAACAAAAAGCACCCCATGCTTGAGCAAAAGCTGTTAGAATTCCGCGCTGGTTTCTCGGATCGGCGCTGGGCCCCCCCCCTGGTAGCGCCGCCCACGGGCGCGCTCCGCGCACCAAGGAGGGGGCACACACGCCGGTCCACGAGCTTGCCCGAGAGGGCCTAGGCGACTCCAGATCCTCGATCCCAGATCCGAGGATTTTGATCGAGGGTCTGGACGCGCCAGGATCGATCGATCGAGGATCGAAGACTCGCGCTGGTACCCCAACCCAAGAGAGCCGCCCGGACCTTCGAACGTGGTGCCCGTGCCGTTCTGTTGCCCCCCCCCCCCTTGCAAGAGGCAGCTCGCCGAGAGCTCGGGGCCCGACTTCCGCGCCAACTCGGGGCTGCTGAAGCAGACCCTCTCACAGAGCGGCCTTTGGGGGGCAACGTCAGTAACGTCAGGGTGGGATGGGCTCGCTATTCGAGCAGTGGATCGACTAAAGAATTGATGTGCCACAAAATGGAGCCGCTCGTCGCATCGACAAGAAATGCGTAGAATGTTCCCGCAGATCTACGAACATTCTACGCACTTTTCTCGTAACTTCTAATCGATCCCCCACTCGAACTATGAGGACAATTCTGGAGGCCTCGCGCGGAGCGCAACCGCTGCATTCTCTGTTCCGCGCGTCCGCCTCGTGAGGTATGGGACGACGTTCGCACTGCGATTTCCCGATGTGAGTCCAGCGCAACCGACGCAAACCAGACGTGAATCCGACGTAAATTTCGGAGGTTGATAGACCTACCCTGACAAGTCGATTAGCGAATTGGCCATTTTCGGTTCGCAAGGGCGTCGCGGCCGTCATTTTGCTCCAGGTTCGTCGGTGTCGGTCCTTGGCCGTTTTCACTAAGGAGTGGTTTATTAGGGGGAGGTTTGTCCACTGCCAAAAATGTGATCTGGAGTTGCCGCGCGAGGCCTCCAGGATTTTCCTCATGAGGCTCAGGGGCGGATGCGTCGAAGTTGGAGCCGGCTTGGGGGGCCGAGGTAGCCCAGCACCAGTTTCGGCCAGCAGGGAGGGGAGGGGAGGGGATCAGAAGGGGCCTCTCGTCGCCGCGGCCAGACGCGGATCGGAGAACTGGTACGTGTCGACCCCAGGAGGTGCCCAGGGACCGATTTCGAGCGAATTTGCCTTCCTCCTCCGCTTCTTGACTGATTTTCTCTGGGTTTTATCCCCTCGTCGCCGCGGCTGGACGCGGATCGATGAACTGGTCAGTTTCGTCCCAGGGAGGTGTCCGGGGATCGATTTTGTGTGAATTTGCTTTCGTTCCTCCCCTTAACCTATTTTCTCTGGGCTTATCCAGCTCTGATCCCCCGGCCGCCTCAAACGTCAGGTGGGGATGGGCTGAGGGGGGGGACGCATCGACCCCCAATCGCCCATTCATCGCAGATGGGACCCGGTTGTCCGCCCCGCCCAGGACCGCGCGGATGTGTTATCGAGGGCCTATTCGGATAGTTATCGATCGCCGATTCCAGGCATGCTCGCGTCGTGGAAAAGTCACGCCCAGAGTTTTTCCCGACCATCCCGTGTGTTGGGTCCTCGTGAATTCGCACTGCCACGCCCCACCTGCGCCTTCCAACCTCTGCATCCTCTCCTCTTCCGCGTCACTCCTCCCTCCACTTTCTCCTCATCCTCCTCTTCCCCCTTACCATCGCAACCACCAATACCACCACCATGACCACCACCACCACCACCACCACCACCACCAACGTCACCACCATCATCATCAGCAGCAGCATCAGCAGCATCATCAGCAACAGCATCATGCACATCATCATCAGCATCATCATCTTCATCTGCATCTTCATCAACATAGTCATAATAGTCGTCATCATCAGCAGCAGTAGCATCATCATCATCAGCAGCATCAGCATCATCATCACGATCTGGATCTCGATCACGATCACGATCATCAGTATCATCATCATGACCACCACAATCACCATCACCATCACCATCATCATCATCATCATCATCATCATCATCATCATGGTTGTGTTTAGTATTGTTATTATTGAATCGCTTCGCTCATTCCGCCGGCCCGTGATATGGCATCACTGGTTTTTGTCTGTGTGTTCGTTGCCCATGTTGCGCTCTTGGGGGCGGGTGTCGTTCGGACGCGTTGCGTGGGGAGTTTTGATGGTGAAGCAGTTCCCTGGGGGTCGTCTCTCGATGGGGCGAAATAGAGTCGTCGTCAAGATGCTTCTTTGGGGGGCCTCTTGGGGTCTGTTGAGAGGCCGTTCGGGGGCGCCTGGGAGACATGTTTGAAGCCTTCTGGGGCTTCTTTTGGGCCTCCTGGGAGTCTCCTGGGGCCTCTTGGCGACATCTTGGGGCCTCTTGGAGGCCTCTTGGGGCCTCTTTGGGACCTCCTGGGCGCCTTCTGGGACGGAGGGCTCCATTTTTGAGTTCTCGGTATCCCTCCTGAGTCCCTCTTGGGCCCGTCTTGGGGCCTCTTGGTCCGTCTTGGGCGGCACTTGGGCCGTCTTGAGGGCTCTCTTGGGTCGTTTCGGCGCCGTCTTGGGAGCTTCGTGGGCCGTCTTGGAGCGGTCTTGGGGGCCTCTTGGGCCGTCTTGGAGCGTCCGGAAGCCGAAAAAGCCAGAACACAAAAAACATAGAAAAAACCAATGAAAATCAACGATTTTGGCCTCTTGGGGCTCTCTTCGGAGGCCTCTTGGAAGGCTCTTGGGGCGTCTTGGAGGCCTCTTGGGCTGTCTTGGGGGCCTTTTGGGCCGTCTTGGGGTCATCTTCGGCGTCTTCGAGCGCTCTTTGGGCGTCTCGGGGGCCTCTTGGGCAGTCTTGGGGGCCTCTTGGGGCACTCTGAGCGCGCTCTGGGGAGCCTGAGAGGCCGCACCCAGAAGGAAAACCATCTCTGAGTAGACTTGGTCGGGCGGCGACCGGGCGTTGGTCGGGGTACTTTTCGCCGGGGGACCCCCAGGGGCCGCCCCGCGCGCGCGAACTAGAAATACTGTTAATACTGTTAACCAGTTACCGGAGATCTTAGCACGCCCTGGCCCGTTGGGCCGGCGAATTGTTGTGATCTTTCTTATCATCACTTTCACCATCACCAGCACTATCATCACACTCTTCCCCCCCCCCTCCCGTGAGCTGGTCCCCCCACACCTCGCGCCTCAGGCCTGGAGGGTCTCACGCTCTCCCGGGAGCTGTCCGGCACACATCCGCCGCGCACGGTGGAGCTGGTGCCCGGGGGGAGCACGACGCCGGTCACTGAGGATCGGGGGTAGTCGAGGACGAGAAAATTGTATAAACGTACAGTGGGGCCGCGCATCAAGAAACCATATGCTTTTCGTCAGGTTATCTTTGGTTTCTTCGCTCCGCGCGCTGCGCGATCACGGAGGATCGGGGGTTAGTCGAGGACGAAATCAGGTGATCGCAAACATGGATCAAGGCGGCGTGGATTAGTGACGGGTCCCGTTTCCATGGGAAGTCGCGGATTTCCGCCGCCGAACGAGGCGGCACTGGCCGCATTCTGGGGAGGGCACCTCCCCCGATCCATGGATTTGGCGACCGCGCACCACATCCATGGATCGTTAATCCATGTTTGCGCTCCCCCGAGACAAAAAATGCATAAACATAAACTTTTTGCGCGCCGCGCGGATTTCTTGGATCCGCGCTGGGCCCTCCCGGCGGCGCCTCCGGCGCCCCCCCTGGCGCGTTCAGCGCGCCAGGGAGGGGGGCCCGGCGCAGATCCAATAAATCCGCGCGGGCGTCAAAAGATTTTGTTTATGACGCTTTTTCTCTTCTAGGAGAGGCGACACCACCACCGCCACCACCATCAGGGGGACCACCTCCAGCGAGGAGGTCCGCGATGCATCCCCGAGCTGCGGTTACTGAATGCCTCGAGCGGGAGGGGAGGGCCAAGGAGTGGGGGGGTCATGATGTTGAGGCTATGTATCCCCGATCCCAGGTTGAGCCAGTCCCTCCTATCGTTCCCCCTATCGTTCCCCCTCAGGGGAGAAATCTCCCTTGCGCTCCCTTCCCCCGTCCAGAATCCGCTCACAACGGGTTCCTTGGCGCCATCCTGTGATCCACCCTGGCCATGTTTTCGAGCCGTGGCACTGCTGGAAGAACCTCGGGAGGCGCCCCCCCAGAAGCGGAATGAGGACTAGGGAGGGATATCATGGCCGGTGCCATGAGATCTCTCCCGATTTGGGAGCCTTGAGACGGGGGTCAATGCAAACGGGGGTCAGCCAGAGCGCCCGATCTTGCAGGATCTTGCAGGGTTCGGGTCGAATTGGCCCAGGTTTGGGTGCGGGATTTTGTAGGATCTTGCAGGATCCTTCGCATTGACCCGGGTTTGGGTGCAGGATGTTGCAGGATTTTGCAGGATTCTGCAAGGCCTGATTGACTCGGTTCTGGATTGACCGGGGTCAGAAGATTCCCGACCGATGTTATGCCCTCCCTCTTCTTCTTTCACTGCGTCTCTCGCTCCCCCCTTCGTCCGCGCACATGTCTCGGGCCATGATTTCCGAACCCCCTCTCGGACTCCCCTCTCGTGGACTTAAGTCGGGCCTGTCCCTCTACAGGAGGAATATTTGAAAATAGTTAAAAAATAGCCTGGGGACGACTTTTGTTTATATGTTTGAGCATTTGGGGAGTACGTTTTGAGTATTTTGATTTGTCGTCCAAAGTCCGCCTGTAGAGGGACAGGCCCGACCTGATCTTGGACGCCCTCGACAGGACAACAAAAAGCTCTGGCTGGAGCTGCACCTCAAGAACCGAAGAACAACGAATTGCGCGCATTTCAAATCATGTTCGGAGGTCCGCGCGGAGTTCTCGGAGCGGCGGTGGACCGCCTCCCATGGCGCGCGGAGCGCGCCATGGGAGACGCTGGAGGTGCCGCCAGGGGAGCCCCAGCACCGATCCGAGAAGTCCGCGCGGACCCCCGAAGGTTCGAGTTTCTGCCGGTTTTCGCCTCTCCGAGGAACAAGCTGTACGACGCCCTGCAGAAGGCCGCGGACGCGTTCAGGTCAGCACCGTCGACACTTATTCCCATCCCCAATGAGCCGTTCGGGCCGGGCGAAAGGGGGGGATTGGGAAAGGGGGGGTTACGAAATTTGCTGCATGCAGCTGGTTTCGGCCCCACCGAGGGGCCCATTCCTCGATACATAGCTCCATCCGGCGCCGGGAGGCGCCGGGAAAATCAGCTACGTGAGCTGATTCTCAAACCCCCCCCTTTGCTATCCCCCCCTTTCGCCCGACCCGAGCCGTGGTGTCTCAGCCCCACCAGCCCACCCTCCTCTGTGTGGATCGACCCCGCGGAACCCGGATGGCTGGGCAAGTCGGCCAGCGGGGCAAATCAAGCAGTGGCGAAAGGTCTTGATGAGCCTATAAGCCCACCAAACAATGTTGTAAGGATTTTTGTGTGGTTTATACGAAATTGTCTTAGAGCATGTTTGGTTGGGACTGTCTTGTTTCAGTACATCTGGCTAATTTTGTAAGAACATTGTTTTGTCCCTGCTTAAGCAAAGGCCACGCCTGCGGGGATAGGGATCGGTCAAACGATGTTCATCAGGGAGGGCCTGCTCGACATCGTGGGGGGCTCCCGCGCCACGTGCCCCCTGTTCGCTCTGCTGGCGCCCGCGGAGATCGTGAGGCGGAGCCGGGCTGCGTGCCAACGCTTGCACGCGGCATCGATCAAACAGTGGCAAATCGTCCTGGCGTGCCTATAGGCCTACCAAACAATGTTCTAAGAACCTTTTGTGGCTTCCACGAAATGTCTTTAGAACATGTCTGGCTGGGACTATCTTGTTTTACACATCGGTACATCGGGGTTGTGTTCTAAGAATCTTGTTTTTGTTCTTGGAGCTTGTTTGGGTTCGACGAATATTTCGCGGTATGCATACAGGAATGCCGGGACGGTGGGTCCCTGCTCAAATCGACCGAATCGATCGCGCACCCTCCACAGACCCCCTCGCGTCGTGATTGAAGTCACGACGGATGGTTTTTGCTGTTTTCGGCCTCTGGGGGCCTTTGCCAGGCCCCAGGACCGTCAAGAACCGACTGAGGACGAAAGGCCGGTCCCTTGGAAGAGATCCAGACCTCTGGGGGGCCTCTGCAGTCAGGACGCTGGGGCAAGGACCACTTTGGGCTCAGGAGGGGCCTTGGTCTTCGGGCCCTCAGATCCGAAGCTGCTAAAAAAATACCACCTCTCGAAAAATCACGCCAAGAGCTCCCGAACCCATCTTTCTGCTGCATGTTTCGAGCGGGATCGATCTGTCCTGGCTCCGGGCCCACACACGGGGCGGAAACACCCACCGTGAACAAAACGCAGCGCCAGGATCTCAGGGCACGGTAGGTTCGCGTCGTGTCGACCAGCGGCGAGCCCGCCGCTGGCGGTCAACGCGTTCAACGTTGAGCGTCACTGGCGACCCAGAGTCGGTCGATGTCGAACGATATGACGTTTCGGAACCGGCCGCTCGTTCAAGTCGGCGGCGAGCCCGGGGGGGAAGTGAGAGAGGGCGGGCCTTCTCAGAAGGCTCGGAAGTCCCCCGGCCTTCTGAGAAATTTTGTAAGCCATCCCCGAAGACACAAGCAATTTCTCAGCAGGCGCGAGAGCTTCAGCGAAGTCGCGCCGCCTCCTGAGAAGGCCCTCCCCTTCTCAGTTTCCCCCCTTTGCTCGCCGCCGATCAAGGTTGAAGGATCCCCGTGGTGTCAGGAACCAACGCCGAGGTTCCCCTCCTCATCCTCATGCGCATCCTGCAGTTTTGTCCGGCATGTGGCCTCTCCTCTTCTTGGATTCCCTCCTCTCCCTCCTCGTCCCCCCTGCCCTCCCTCGGCCTCTCCCGCCTTCTTTGGGCAAGGCCCCCCCCGCGCCTGCGCTCTCGAAGGGCAAGATCGATGTCTCGGAATTCCTCAGGACCGGCGTTTGCCACGACCGCACGAGGGGTTTGTTCACGAGCCGAGCCCTCGACAATACTAGGGCCCCCGCCCTCAAAGCTGGGATTTCGCCCGACATCGCCAAGCAGGGCGGCAAGGAGGCATATGCGTTCGGCTGTCACCAGTACTACGACCCGTACGACTACTACCACTACTACTACCACTACTACTACTACTACTACTACTACTACTATTATTATTATTACTACTACTACTACTACTACTACTACTACCACGATTACGATTACGACACCGACTACGCCGACTACTACTACTACTACTACTACTGCTACTACTAGTACTACTACTACTACTACTACTACGACTACTACTACAACTATCATTATTACGACTAATACTATTACAACCACGCCTCCGACTACGACTACTTCTATTGCGGCTACTACTACCACCACTACTACGACTACTACTACTACTACTACTACTACTACTTCTACTACTACTATTACTACTACTACTACTACTGCTACTACTACTAATATCATTACTACTACTGCTACTACTAGTACTACTTATTTCACTACTACTACGAGTATTACTACTACTGCTACTGCTACTACTACTACTACTGTTACGACTGCTGCGGCTACTAAGACGACTATTATTACTACATCTACTACTACTACTACCACTACCACTACTACTACTACTACTACTACTACTACTACTACTACTACTACTACTACTATCACGACTACGACTACTACTCTTACCAGTAATAATATTACGAATTCTACCACGACTACTACTGGTACTATTACTACTACTACTAGTGCTACGACTAGTACGACTACGCCTACCACTATTACTACTACTACTACTACTACTACTACTACGACGACTAGTACTACTACTACCACTACTACTACTACTACTACTACTGCTACTACTACTACTACTACTACTACTACTACTGCTACTTCGACTACTATTACGATTACGACTGCGACTACGACACCGTTTACGACTACGACTATTGCTACTACTATTTTTGCTACTACGACTACCACTACTACCGTTCTTACGATTAAGACTACTACAACGACGACTACGACTACCACTACTACTATTACTACTACTACTATTACCACCACTACTACTACTACTACTACTACTACTACTACGTCTACTACTACTACTACTACTACGACTACGACTACTACTACTACTACTACTACTACTTGTACTACTACTACCACCACCACAACTACTACTACTACTACTACTACTACTGGTACTACATTTGCTACTTATTTCACTACTATACGAGCATTACTACTACTACTACTGCTACTACGACCACAACTACTACTACTACTACTACTACTACTACTACTACCAGTACTACTACTACTACTACTACTACTACTACCTACTACTACTACTACTACTACTACTACTACTACTACTACTACTACTACTACTACTACTATACTACTACTACTACTACTACTACCACTACTACTACTACGACTACTACTACTACTACTACTACTACTACTCTTTCGGCTACTACTACTACGACTACAACGACTACTACGACTACTACGACCACTACGACTACGATTACGACTATTACTGCGACCATTCCTACTACAACTACTACTACTACTACTACTACTAGTACTACTACTACTACTACTACTACTACTACTACTACTATTACTACTACTACTACTACTACTACTACTACTACTACTACTACTACTACTCCTACTTACTACGACGACGACTACTACTACTACTACTACTACTACTACTACTACTACTGCTGCTACTAGTACTATGAGGACCCATTTGCATATTTCTGAATCGATGCAATTCGGTGCGTTTTTGCTTACGCTCCGATGCCCTCTTGCTCATCTTAACGTAGTGTTCGTGCGCAGACCAAAAACTGAGACCAATTCCAACTCGAGCACGCATGTTGGCTTCCAGATCCTCTGCGTTGACATAAGGAGTGTCACTTGGTCTTCGCAGTCCTCTTGGGCTTCTCTACACTTAAAATCATATTGTGGGGCTATCCCAAGATGGTTGGGATTGGGCCCAGTTTGCTTTTCGCACTGGTTGGGATTGGTCCCAGTTGGTTGGGATTGGGCCCAGGGGGTTGGGATAGGGCCCACATGCGGTCACTGCCGGTTCGAACCCCCCTCCCCCCTCGACCTCGAAAACCGGGGGGGGTCACTACCGGTTCGAACCCCCCCCCTCGAAACAGTAGGACAGTGGAGGGCACAATGGTAGTGGAGACAGTGGCGAAGGCGGTGGCGAGGACGGCGGTGGGACAATGGGACAGAGGTACAGTGGGGACAGTGGCGTGGACAGTGGTGGGTCGAGCCGGCAGTGACCCCCCCCCTTCCGGTTTTCGGGGGGGGGAGTTCGAACCGGCGGTGGCCCCCCCCGGTTTTCGAGTTCGAGGGGGGGGGGGGAGGAGTTAGGAAAGGGAAGGGTTTTGCGGGGGGAAGGGGGGGGGGGGGGGGGTCCCAGCAGGGACGGCGGGGGGGGTGGGATTCTCGGATGGGGGGGGGGGCGGGCTCCAGAGAAAAAGGGCGGCAATTTTCCGCAGTAGTGCGGCGGTGGATCACGCTCTCTCCCATATTCAGACACCATGGCGATGCTGGGCCAGTTCGCAGGCCGCAGCCTGAGGATGACGATGGGGCGATGGGGGCGCTGGTCGTTTACGCGGGAGGCAAGAAGTCCCAGTCGGCGGCGCCCAGGTTGGAGCTGGGGGAGTTGCTGGACGGGAACATCAGAGTCGGCGTCGCCGAGGACGGAAAAGACGGCGGCATTCGCGAGATTTTCTCGGAGCGTTGCGCCGCCGGGCTCGGGAGGGGCGGTCGCATGAGCGAGGTCTTCTCGTAGTGCAAAGACCCTGGAGCAGAATGCCAGGCCGCGGCCGACGCGGACAAGCACGCACGCTGCACCAACCTCGGCGTCAGCACCGTGCAATGAGGGGGCTGCCTCTGGAGAGCCCCACCAGGGGCAATGGGCATTGCTGGGGTGCCCAACAGCCTTCAGAGGAGGAAGAGAGACCTTTCGGTTGACGAAAGAAAAGCATAATCGATCAGCATGGACGTTGAACGCCTCGCCAAATTCAGACGATTCGCCCCAAATTGCACGAGATGTCCCTGAAGTTCCGAGCAGAGCGGGGAGCTGAATTACAGAGGAACGACGTGGGAAAAAGGCCGGCCTGGCAACATCCAGTCTACCTATCCCAGCCAGTAGAAAACGTCATCTGCAAAGGCGACGCGATGCGTTTCTCCCTCCCTCTTTCCATTTGCAGATACGGTGGGGTGATGAGTGGGTCGCTCTGCATGCAGCACAGCATGCGCGCAATGCGGACGGGCCACGGCCACTGGGGGGGAGATGGGCACGGAGTACGAGGTACTACGAGGGCGCAGGGCAGTTGGGATGTCAATGCTATCTCAGCGGGGGGATGCGGGGCCAGCATACCAGAGGTACGACTTGCATCATGGGGCTGTTGGGCTGTTGGGATTACACAACTCCTGCCCCCGTAGCTCATCCTCGGTCGCCACGGCTGATTTGGCTCGACGCAAACCAAGGCGAGCAGTGTGACGCATTAGCGAGGTTTCTCGGAGCGCGTTGCACGCGCGGGCCATGGCCTTCGCGACCGGCAGTCAACTATGGCCACGTGGGCTTTGCAACGATGGGTACCAGTACCACAAGATGACCGAACGCCCCAGAGAGCGTGCTAGAAACGAACCAGGCCACGAAATGGAACAACGCGGCAAAGGCAGCGAATGGAAAAGAGCGCTCGTCGATTGCGAGCCGGGGCTGGGGGAGGCGGAGTGGGGGGACTGGGTCGAAGAAGAAAGGGCGCTGCATGGATGGGAAAAGTCTATTTCGAGAGAGCAGGTCCGCCGAGAACACAGGCGGAAGGCGAAGTGAGCTGCGCGGGCGGCCCAGGCTTCGGACCAAAGCTGCTCAAACCCAGTTGGCAGAAGGAGGCGAACACAAAACGCCAAACAACGCACGCAACGAAAGCAGATCGCCATGCAGAAGTCCAAGGAGATTGCAATGGCGCCGGTGGAGGGCATAACATAGAATGGAGAAACACTTACAGCTTGTAGCAAAGCAGGGGCGGGAATGACGAAGGCCCCACGCTGCGCAGAATAATGGGGCATCCTGCTCGAAGAGTACATGGCCATTGACGCAATGACGAAGAAGCGCTGAAGGTGGCAAAACAGGAGTTGGAGGAGAAAGAGAGGAATGCACGAGATGGGCGACTTCGCGACGGCGAAGGAGAAGGGCGAGCAGCGACTTCGCGGGCAAGTGGGGCGACAACCTGCAGCTGTGAAATGTCTGCAGGAGAGGCGCTGGTCGTGGTACGAAGAGGGGCGGAGCTTGCTCGCGCGGGCGCGCATTCCCGAACAATCTGCGTGGAGCGACGAGTGGAAGTTCTGGCGCAGGGCGGATTGGTCGCAGCTGGCGAAGGCGCAGTGCAACCAGCTGAGGGGCGTGCTCTTGGCGGAATGGGTAGACAAAGTGGAGAACGCGCTTGGGCCGGACTGCGAGAAATGGCCAGCGATCGGGCGCGAGAGCAAGTTCTTCCCGTTCATGAGAGGGCCATCTATGGTGGCGGAGCTCAACGCGGGGACCGCTTGGCAAGCGCTCATTTTCGGAAAGGCTGCCGCGGGAACTTGGCGACGCCATCAAGGGGCGCCACTGCGAGTTCTCCGACGCGGCCAAGAAAATGAGTCCAGAGGAGCTATTCGATGTGCCCCCACTGCCTCCCCCGATGACGCGCAAGATCGAAGGCTGCGACTTCGCCGCGAGGTGCCCAGTGGACCACTGGGAGAGACAAGGGAACAAGGCCTTCACGGTGCAGAGCTGGTGCGAGCTAGCGCTGGAGTTTGCGAGGGATGACGAGGGGAACCTCCGCGAGGGAATGGATGTCGCCGCCAGCGAGATGAGGAGCGAGGACAACGCGGGCGCAGAGGATGTGAAGAGGCTGAACGAGCGCCAGAAGCAAATGGACTGCATCCAGACCATGCTGGATGGCACCGGGATCTTCGCGGGGAAGTTCGGCCGCCCCGAGTCGGAGGAGACTGCGATGGCCAGCTCGAGCGGCCGCCAGTGAGTGCGCCCACTGGAGCCTGCAGTGCGCCGAGGGCAAACATTCCCGAGGTTTCTCGGAATGCTGATCTAGGGAAGGATTGAGCCAGCCGTGCCCACGGGCAGTCATGAGAAGCATTAGCGAGGTTCCCCGGCGCGCTACTCATAGCAAACTACATAGACACGACAGCGCGCCTGCGCCGCCATCGACATGCCATCGACATGACAGGTGCACATCTGCAGGTCGTGGAGGGAGAAAAAAAAGTGATCATCATGATGCCCGCCAGTGTGCTCCTCAATGGCCCTTCCTGCGACCGCGGCTTCCAGCGTGCTCTACCTCGCGCGCTCCGAGGGGGGAACTGAGCTCCCCTACAGGGTACCAGAGGACAGATGCGGCATCACATGGAGCATCTTTCGGAACGACCGAAAAGTGCGCTGAGTGGAGGGGCGCGGAATTCAAACTGTCAGAGTATAGGCCCCCCCCCAGCAACAGTTTGGGGTCCCGGGCCTTCCGTCTCTCCCTTCTCTTCTCCTTTTGAGGTCGCGGCGTTGTCTCCTCCCCCCCTTGGCCCGGGCGCCCTGCAAAGCCCGCGCGCCCCCTCGCTCAGGGCGCGCGGAAGGGCCAGCAGTTGCTTCCCCGGGCTGACCCGATGGGGCTCGCGATACAAACTAGCGAGCGTCTCTTACGGGGCCACCTCTGACCTCGGTCCTAGAGCTACGGGGCATGCCCCCTTGCCGGCCCCAGTGAGAAAGGAGAGCTGTGGCACAACCGAGCGCAGGGGAATTTGGCAGTAGCGCGTAGATCACCCGTGTAGGTGCTCTGACGTCCCCCCCTCATGCGGATGTCCTTGTCCTTGTCCTCCCACTCCTAATCAGTTTCTTTGCATGATGCATAATTTCTCCCTGGCACACCCCGTGGCCAGTTTTTAGGGCGGGCCAGGCGTTTGTCAGGAGACTTCTTCACCATTTATGGCCCTGAAGCTTAAAGGTGACAACCGTTTCACAGATGGAGGGCGGGTCGTTTTCAAAATGTGGCTCTCGCCTTACCGCCGCGCATATTCGGTTCAACCATGTGCAATATATGCGCGGATTGAGAGCGACTGGTTTTCAAAATGTGGTTTTCGCCCTTGCGGCGCGCATACTCTTTTTAAACAGTTGCAAGCGCTTCACGGATTGAGGGCGGGTCTCTTCAAATTCGCGTTTTCGCTTTACCGCCGCGCACATCCGTTTTTCAAATATTGCACAACAGTCAATGATTTCAATGATCCGCGTACCAACATTTGTATTTTGGAGGGACTCATGATTATGATGGTGCAGCAGTTTCATTGGTTTGTAGTGTTGAAGTCCCAAGAACGGCGTTCTGGAACGAGTCAGGCTTGTCAAGGCGCAACATTCAAATTGATCCGTGGCGTTGGAACCCCGAAAACAAATTCCGATATACTTCCGGGTCTTCCATCGGCTGTCCTCCAACGACGCAGTTCCCTCAGCGGAAATGGTCCGTGGCCGTGGCGTATGAAAAGTGAATTGGGGGGGTTATTCCAACATCGTTGATGACTTTGGGTTTCCACTGGTCTTCCTCCTCTTCCTCTTCCTCCCCCTCCTCCATTCTTTCTCCTCGTGAACACTTATTCCCTGTCGCACCCCGACGTTGGTCGAAAGGGCGAGCTGGGCGTTTCTCTGATTAACCATTTTTGATTCCCCAGCAAAAAATTGCAAGGGTTTCGCGGATGGTAGGCGGTCCGTTTTCACAATGTCTGTTTCGCCTTCGCGCCGCGAGGACCTGTATTCAAAGCTTCGCAAAAATCACGCCCGTTTTCAACATGAGGTTCTCGCGCTAGCGCCGCGCAAGTTCGCAAGAGCTTCACGGATGGAGTGTGGTCAGTTGTCAAACTGCGGCTTTCGCGTTAGAGCCGCGTACATTCGTTTCAAACGTTTGAAAGATGTTCTGGGATGCTCATGGCTAGCGTCCCAGAGATTGTTCTTTGGTGCGGTGCCGGGAAGGCAGGAGGGGAAACGGTAATGTTGATGCGGTGTGTTGATATGCCAGGAATCGTGTTCTGGCAAGATTCAGGATCGTCAAAACGCAACGGTAAAAGTGGTTCGCGGCGTTGAAGTTCCATGGCTGGTGTTTTGGCACAGTTCCAGATTTTCAAACGCTTGTCTTCCAAGGGGGCACGTCCCTTAGTTAAACATGAATCCTTGTAGGAGTCTATGAAGAGGACATCCGGAGGGAGGATTCATGGCAATTGCCTTGATGACTCCTGGGTGTGCATTTGCCCCCCTCCTCTTCCTCCTCCTCCTCCTCCTCCTCCTCCTCCTCCTCCTCGTTCTCTCCCATCCTCCCCGCCCCTCCCCGAAGAAGCCCGGGGAGTTCTCAGGAGGTCCCGTAGGGGTTTCTAGGAATGTGTTTTGGAAATTGTTGACGCTTCGCGAATCCCCACCAGCCCATCCAGAAACGATGCCCAGAGGAATTCCCTGATCAGGGAAGTGGGCAGCACACAGAGGAAGCCATTATGAGACATCTTGGGATGTCTTGAGACATCTTGGAGGTCATCTTGGGCTCTCCCAGGCGCTCTTGGAGTCATCTTAATCAGTGCTCCCCCCAAGAGGCCAACATGTGGCTAAAACCTTAGTGAAATCAATGATTTGGCATTCTCGCCGAGGCCTCTTGGAGCATCTTGTGTGCCTCTGGAGGGTCTCTTGGGGCCTCTTGGGGGTCTCTTGGGGGCCTCCTGGGGGCCTCTTGGGGGCCTCTTGGGGGTCATCTTGGGGCCATCTTGGGACCTCTTGGGGCCTCCTGGGCGCTTCTTGGGGCCATCTGGGAGGAGATCGATCAAACAAGAGGAGAGCATTAATTTGCGACCCCCCCCCCCCCAGGAGGCCAAAAATGGAGCCAAAACCACTGTAAAACAAATGCTTTGGGCTTCCTCGCCGAAGCCGTTTTGGCATTCTCGTTGAGGCCTCTTGAAGCATCTTGTGTGACTTTGGGGAGTCTCTTGGGGCCTCTTGGGAGTCTCTTGGGGCCTTCTGGGGGCCTCTTGCGGGCCTCTTGGAGCCATCTTGGGGCCATCCTGCGACCTCTTGGGGCCTCCTGGGCGCTTCTTGGGGCCATCTTGGAGGAGATCGATCAAACAAGAGGGGAGTATTAATTAGCGACCCCCCCCCAGGAGGCCCAAATGGGGCCCAAACCATAGTAAAATCAATGATTTTGGCTTCCTCGCCGAGGCCGTTTCGGACGCTCTGACACCTCACGGTCCCCCCCCTCCAGGTCCACGGGGAGTGGGTAGGGGGCGGGGTAAACCCCTCCCCGAAGGGGAAGAAGGAGGGGTGGAAGAGGAAACGCCCTAAACCACCGACGCCCAGGGGGTTTGTGGGATTCTTGTGTGTTTTCCTCCACGCAAGCACACAAGACAGAGGCCAGTGGAAAAACGCCTCCTGGCAGGCTGTGGGCCGGCCGCGACGTGGGGCCAGAGGGCCTGCGGCGGTGGCGGGCCGTGGCCGTCGTGAGTGGCGAGGTGCGGGAGCAGGCCGACTGGCTGTGGGAGCTGCTGGAGGAGGGCCTCTCTCGCCGCCGGTCCCGCGCGCCCCGGGTCCTACAAAGGAGGGGGCGGCAGAGGAGGAGGAGGAGGAGGAGGAGGAGGAGGAGGAGGAGGAGGAGGAGGAGGAAGAGGAGGGGGAGGGAAAGTCATCGCACTCCTTCCGCACCACCACTCTGCCGCCCGTTGCCTTCACTTGTTTGCATCTACTGTATTGCTTGTGATTTTCATGTTGCCTGAAGTTGTTTGGCTCTGGGGAAACAGAAGAGGAGCGAGCCTGCGGCGCGCGCGTGCGTCGACCGGCGGGCCGTCCTCCTCCCTTCAGGGTTATTGTATTGTTAGCTTAGCGGTATTTCCCTTTCTTCCCATGCCATCCGCGAAGCCCACTGAACACGATGTATCATCGGCACATGTCGCAGGGGTTCTGAATTTTCAGGCGAAAAACTGGTTATCACCCGAAGCGGCGGTACAGCCGTTAGCTTCGCAGAGCATTGGATCACAGGAGGGAGCGCTCGGAAGACACAAAAAAACGTTATCTTTCCGAGCACGTTCGTGACGCAGGCGCTTCTATGAGGCGACCTAGTTTTCTCCGCCTCCCAGTAAAGCAAGCGTCGAAAACTGTGTTCGATTTAACAGAAGGAGACTCTCTAGTCGATTCGATGACAGCAGTAAGGGAACAATCCCCCGGGCGGGAGGTATGGCGCAACCAAACCTCCCGCCGGGGGGCCATGTAATCTGGTGTCGGCGCACCCGAGTTCCCAACCATTGATTGATTTAGACCATGAGATGGAGAGAATGTTGGGACGAATGCCCAGAGAAACGTTCGATCAAGGTACCTGCAGCACAGGAGAAGCAGCGCAAATTGAGATTCATGGTCAGGGCGAGGAAGAGAGCGATCTACCATTTGAAAGGGACAGCGCGCATTAAATTGAGGGAAATGAAGAGCACGCTCAATTTCATATTTCGCTTGGCTCATCTCGTCACCATAATCCCCTCGCTGGTGGACCCGACGGGCTCGCCCCAGGCGCAGACCTGTCTGAGAACGAGACAATTGATTTTGCAACGGTCGATGCACTCCAACAGGCTACTCCTGATTCGGATGATGATGTTGGAGATGGAGGAAGCCCAGGTCAAGGCAAGAGTTCGTCGGCACAGCCGACGCTGAATTCGCCCGAAGGAGATACAAGAGAGCCTACGGGTACTACCCCACTTCCACAGATAAACAAGACGAATAATGAGGATGATGACCTACATGCTTCCCCTTTTGCCAGAACGTTTTCACCGACAATATTTCACAGTGACGAGGTCTAGCAGGGACAGGGTGCCAGAACTTGATGAACTGGCGATGCAGGGCGAAAGACACGAGCTGGCCGACCAAAAGCAGGATGCCGATGTCATCAACACGGGTGTAAGAACAAGGGAACAGCATACTCCTGCCTCGAGCAGGGGACACAGGAAGGCCCCCAGGGCGTGCGTTTCGAAGCAGAGTTTCGAGGCGGAGCTGGCTAGACAAAGCGGCTGGGTCCAAGTTGTTGGATCTGGTCAAGCCTTACGAGCACGTTCCCCATCGCGCGTTTGCAAGGCATGGCCTGCGCCGCAAGTTTCATGGCAAGGCCCGGCGGTTCCTGCTAATAACTTGCAATTTCGATCGGGTTGTTCTGCTCGAACAGATCGCCGCTGAAATCGTCGCGGCTGGCCGTGCGATCGTCGCAGGCTGCAGCTGTGCCGCTTCTTTGCTACGTATGGCGTTTCTCGCCCCAGCCGGCGCAGAAGTGGTCAGGTTTGTCAACGCCGATGTTGCAGTTGTGTTCGATGACTTTCAACTTCAGAGAATTGGCGACGCGTGGGGGTTCGCCCATGAACTTGAATATTTCCCTGCGGCTGAACTCGCAGAGCGCGGCCTCACCATCTCCTTGCCCAACAAAAACCAGACCGCGATAGGCTGGGACGGTCGGAAAGTGGTTCATAAAGTGGACCCGCTTCGACAGAATTCCCCACGAGGTATGTTAAGCATGGGGTTCGATTTTGGAAGAGGACACAGAGTGCTGCGTGTGGTTCGGACCCAGCGACTGGGTGAGATGTCGTCGCGGGTGCCTAGGTAAGCGACTGGCCAGAGTTGTGGGCAATCCTTCCCCATCCGCGGGCCCCCTCGTTGCGCCTCCGTCCAAACATGGCCCAGCAAAGTTGACTTTAAAGCAATTCCCAGCACCCACAGCTTGTATCTAGGCTTCGTAGGCGTGGTCTGAGCAGATAGGGTCGGAGGGTCGCGCCGCATCGCCGATGCGTCGGCGATGCGGCTCGGTGCGGAGCTCGAATTTCTCCACGCCGACGTCGATGACGCATCCCCGACGTCGACGGTGCATCGCCGATGCATCGTCTATGCATCGGCGATGTATCGGCGATGCGGCGTGATTTTCCGACCCCATCTATGCGGACCCCATCTAGGAGAGCCCCTGTTGTAGGGCACGTCGCCTTGGTGTTCGGTCCTGGTTGCTCGGCGAGGGGCCTTCTCGCGTGCTTCACTCTATGTGCCTTGGTCCGCCCTCCGTGTCGGTTCGGGCCCTCTGGCCCTTGCTCGTTAGGGGCTTCGCGGAGTAAGCGCATCGATTCTGACCCACGCACACGTGAACCCCTCCTCGACCCTCCCCGACCCTCGACCATCCCAAGACATCCGGCGTCCTGAAATTATCCCATTGAAGGGCCCGAGCATTTGCAGTGGTGAGTACCTCGCTATGGGTGCCGCTGTCGGTGGAGCTCCGAAGCGTTCGTGCGGTATGCCGAAACGGGCACGGCGGTGTCACGCGAACGCAGCCATTTGGGCCTTCGGTGGAGCTCCCTATTGGGCCACGAAGCGTGTGAGGGGTGTGCCAAAACGGGTGCGGCGTTGCCATGCGAACGCAGCCACTGGGGCTTTCGATGGAGATCCTTGTTGAACGGCCGCGAAACGGGGGTGGGTCGAACTGGGTGCGGTGGCGCCATGCAAACGCAGCCGCTGGGGCGTTCGGTGGAGCTCCCAAGGGGGCCACGAAGCGTGGGAGGGGTGCGCCGAAACGGGTGCGGTGGTGCCACGCGAGCGAAGCCACTTGGGCCTTCGGTGGATCCCCTTATGGGACCACGGAGAGTGTAGGGGGTGTGCCGAAACGGAGGCGGCGGTGCCATGCGAACGCAGCCATTGGGGCCTTTCGGTAAAGCTACCAAATGGGCCACAGAACATGTGAGGGGTGTGCCGAAATGGGTGCGGCGGTACCATGCGAATGCAGCCGTCGGAAGGGGGGAACAGGGAGGAGGAGGACGGGAAGGAGGATGAGGAGGAAAAGGAGGAGGAAGAGTGATTTGGGGCGCTGTCTCTTCAAAACGGAGACCTAACACCAGATGATGGTTTTGACAAACGTCAAGGCTGATTTTTTCATTCGTGTTCGGCCTCCCTGCGCCCTGTCAAACAACGACTCCCGACGAACAGCTGGCCCCGTGGAAGGGATCGAGGCCTCTGTGGGTCGACGTTGTGAAACAAACATGACGTTGGGGTTCTGGGATCCTTGATCCTCCTCGACACTAGATCATCGACGCCCTATCCTCCTCGATACTCGATCTGCCTCGACACTAGATCATCGACGCCCTATCCTCCTCGATACTCGATCTGCCTCGACACTAGATCCTCGACGCTCTATCCTCCTCGACACTCGATCCTCCTCGACACACACCCGATCCTCCTTGGCATTCGATCCTCGATCTTGGATTCTCGATGCTCTTCGACACTCTGGGATCCTCGATCCGCCTCGACACTCCCCTCGAGGAGGCGGACGACCAGTTCCGAGGCCGCGTGCTCGAGTTCTCCACCGGCGCGCGCCGCCTCAGCCAGGAGGGCTTACAGAGGTTCGAGGTCCAGGAGTGCCGCCCTCCCCCCCGCCTCGAGGATGAGGGAAAAGGCATTCGGTACGATTGACATGGGTACAGAACGGATGGGCACGAAGACCGACAGCAGTTCTTGTCCATTTTGGACAGGTTTCGTTGTCAGTGACGCCGCAGACTCTGTCCATTTGAGGAAGAAGGTTGCCTGCCCAACAGCGGCCGTTGTCGCTGTTGGACAACATCAGTTGTTGGGCATCGCCTCCATTTGCTGTCGTACCCATTTCTGGAAGAAATGGGGGAAGGATCGACCCAGACCTCCGACGATATGTTTTTGTTCAACACTGGTGTGTTTCTTTGGTTTGGGCCTCCAGAACCCTTGATTCCTGTGCCTCCCAGAAACGGTCGGAGTAGATGGGGTAAGAGGATAAGGCCGCATCGTCGAAGCATCGATGATGCGGCTCGATGTGGAGGCCGATTTTCTCCGCGCCAACGTCGCCGATGCATCGCCAACGTCGCCGATGCATTGCCGATGTATTCGTGATGCATCGCCGTTACGGCGCGATCTTCCGACCCCGCCTACTCGGAGCCCATTTGCGAGAGACCCCATTCACTCGGACCCCATTCCCACATGCTCGAAGTCCAGGAGTGCTGCCACCCCTTAGAGGATGAGCAAGCAGGAGTGAGGGCAGGATCGGCACAGATCTCCGACGAATGCGAAGGCCTTCCAGCAAGTGCTGCCGACCATGAAGGGGGACGACGACGACGACGACGACGACGACGACGACGACGACGGCGACGGCGACGGCGGCGATGGTGACGGCGACGGCGACGGCGACGGCGACGGCGACGGCGACGGTGACGGCGACGGCGACGGCGCCGGCGACGGCGACGGCGGCGCCCACGCCGACGGCGACGCCGACGTCGACGCTGACGACGGCGACGACGACGACGACGCTGACGCTCTAGATCCGAAAGCTTCTCCCAGGGAGGGTTGCTTCCCCCAGGGGGGATCAACTCCTGGGAGTGCCGCACCCCGCCCCCCCTCCCCCCGGGATGCGGGAGCAGGAAGGGGGTGAGGATCGACCCAGGTCTCCGACGATCTGTTTTTGTTCAACCCTGGCCTTTGTCTTCCATTTGGGCCTCCAGGGCCCATTGTCTCAGGCGATCGCAAACATGGATCAAGGGGGCGTGGATTAGCGACGGGTCCCGTTTCCATGGGAAATTTCGGATTGCCGCCGCCGAGCGAGGCGGCACTGGCCCGATTTGGGGAAGGGTACCTCCCCCGATCCATGGATTTGGTGTTCGCGCGCCAAATCCATGTCTCGCTAATCCATGTTTGCGCGCCCCCGAGATATGTTTTCGTTCAACCCCATCCTTTATCTTCCATTTGGGCCTCCAGGGCCCATGATCGAGCCCTGGGACCGTCAAAAGTTGGAAAGTTGCCCTGTGGAAGACGTCGGGCCCCGTGGGGCCGCTCATTGAATTACTCGCATCGTAAGATGTCTGGGTTTGAGGTTTTTGTACTGTCTGTTGCATTCTGACCCTGCTGTGGCATTCTCGTCGCCACGGCTAGGTCCGCTCAGAAATTCTGGCCCGAGCGCATCCTTGGACGGGCCCAAGGAGGGGAAACCGGTTTTTCCATTCAGATGGGGGCGTTGGACGACATGGGCGGATCAAAGTCAAATTCAACAAAAGTCAAAATCGCCAAGATGTCCCGGCATATTAAGCCAGTTTGATTGCTTCCGTCGAACGCGTGCGGAGAAATGGCCCGACGGTCATAATTCCCCAATCAGTGTTTGCATTGAAGGGGTCCTAGCGGAAGTTCCCCAATCAGCGCTTGCATTGAAGGGGTCCTAGCGGAAGTTGAAAGATTTGGCGAAGTTTTCCCGCTGATTTTGGTAGTAGGCTGGGTTCCTGGGTTCCCAGTTCTGGGTTTCCGGGTTTCGGTTATTAGTTCCAGGCCGATTTCGGTGGGTTCCCGGTTCCCAGGTTCCCGGGTTCCCAGTCGATCTTTTTATGATCGATTTCATTATCCATCTCATTCAATCGATCTCATCAAACCATCCACTGATCGGGGCTTTTCTCTGATGTAATTGTAAGGTTTGGCGAAAGTTTCCCGCCGTTTTTGGTAGCAGGCTGGTTTCCCGGGTTCCCAGTTCCTGATTCCCGGGTTCCCGGTTATTGGTTCCGGGCTGATTTCGGTGGGTTCCGGGTTCCTAGGTTCCCGGGTTCCCAGTCGATTTGTTGATTGATCTCTTTGTCGATCCCACGATTTATTATCGATCTCATGATTCATCTCATTATCCATCTCATTCAATCGATCTCATCAAACCATTCTTTGATTGGGGTTTTTCTTTGGTGCAATGGATTGTTGTGCAGGCTGTTGCGCAGAATGTTGTTGAGATTATTTCCCATGTCTTAGGTTGTGTCTTCTTGGTACTCGTGTCGCGCCTCCCCGCCTCCTCATTCATGCCTCCCCCCCCTTCCATTCAACGATCAGAATCATCGCGATGTGGCGGGCATGGCACTTGGGCAGCACAAGGGGGAACGTCAGGGGGTAGGACACCGGTTCGTGCCCAGATTGCGGGCATGTCTCCAGCGGCTCGTTTGTTTTAAGGATGTAGGCGCGTCTTTTTTCAGGGCCGCGCAGTGGACATAGCAGTCATAGCACTTGGGCGCCACATTGGGGAGCGGCCAGGGGTTCAGGACACTTGCCCGTTGGCGCCAGCATGCGGGGATATCTCAAGCGAAATGCTCTCTTTGAGAGGTGGACGTGCCTCTGTTCAGGGCTGCCACGTAGAAGGCGAATCACTTAGGCACCCCACAGGGGGGGGCGTCAGGGAGTAGGACACTTGCCCGTTGGCGCCCAGATTTGGGCGATGTCTTAACCGAAATGCTGGTTTGGGGAATGTAGAGGCGTCGCTGTTCAGGGCCGCGCAGTCGCGGCGATGACGTAGCAGGCATATCACTTGGGCACCACAAGGGCCAGTCGCCAGCGGGCAGGACACTGCCCTGTTAGTGCCCAGATTGTGGGGATGTCTCTACAGAAACGCTGGCTTCTGAAAGGTCGAGGTGTCTTTTTCCAAGGCCGCGTGATCACTGCGATGTAATGGCACCTGCGCGCCACAGGGGGGGAGCCGCCAGGGGGTAGGGCACTTGCCCGCTGGCGCCCAACTCGTGGGGATGTCTCCAGCGAGTCGCTGGCCTTTGGGATTTATTATTTTGTATCGTTTGCGGCTGCGCGGTCTTCGCGATGCAGGAGGCGTGGCAAGTGCAGACCCCAAGGGGTGGGTTGGCAGGGGTCACATCACGGGCGCGGTCGCGCTCGCACTGTGAGGATGTCTTGGCCCACAACGTTTGTTGTTCTGCTTATAGATCTCCCTCACATACAAACATACATACATGTACTTATACATGTTTAGTTATATATGCATTATACATCGTCATTCTCGGGCACCCGTGGGGAGACCATCAGGACAGTTTGCGCTACTTTGCCGATGCAAATGAGCGTGGATGAGGAGGATAGGAGGAGGAGCTATCCGATCTCCCGCGTCGACACAATATGTCTGCCTTCGCCTGTGCAGCATTTCGCTTTCGAGAGGTTCCGCCTCCGCGAACATTTTGCCTGTACAGAACATGCCCCTCTGACTATCTCCCTCCCCCCTCTCTGTTGCGCTCTCCCGCTAGTTGCTCGGGTCCCCCTTCCCCCCTCTGTTTTCTTTTATTCCTCCGCCTCTTTGTTGCCGCGAGGATTTGGCTGACCGTATGGGTCTCGGAGCGCGTTGCAGTTAGCAAGGTTTCGTCAGCCAGGCCTCGTTTGCGGCGGGTTGGTCTGTACTGCGTTCCAGATGCATCGGGCGCTCCTCCAGCTCTCACAGTGCCAGGCTTAGGTTGCCGATGGGGGCAGGGATGCCTGACACTTCACCGCTGCCTTGTGCGGGGGCCATTTCTGCTGCTGCTCCCCTTCCTGATTATTGCCTTCCACGCCCTCTCTTCTTACTCAAATTGCCTTCCCATTTACAACCGCTGGATACATGCATTTCCTCTTGCCCTGGCGCCCAGGTTTCGAGGGCTCCTCAAGCGATACCGCCGGGACTTTGGGCTATTTGATTGGATTGGTTGGTCGCATGGGTTTCTGCCCCTGTCGCCGTCGCATTGCAAAATGCAAGTGCAAGGTGCAGGCGTCTTCTTCAAACCTCGCGCTCGCATTGTGAGGACGTCTCAAGCGATAGGGTTGTGATTAAGGGTTGGGTGATCGGTTGGTTTGGTCGGCGCGCCACTCGCCCAAATGCGTGGCACGCGGGCGCATGGCCGATTTGCAACGGGGGCTGGTTCCCCGAATGGGCGCGCGACGTGATGCTCACAAGGCCGAGCCTAAGGTTTTCACGAGCCCTGTCCGCCTGGCGGCGCGCAAGATCAATGCCCACGCCGATCGCGCACTTCTTGCGGCCTGTGCAGCGCCAGCGGCCATGCGGTTCATACGTCGCCTGCGGCCCATGCGCCTCGCGCTGCCCAGGCGTCTCGTCCAGCCCTCTGCGGGGGGCGCCCGTGCGCCTTGCGAGGCCCATGCGGCTTCCCTAGGCCCATGCAGCCTCCCGCTTCCCATGTTCGTCACATGGCCTATGTGGGTCATGCGGACCTTGCGGTTCGTGCAGCTCGTGCACTCAGTGTGGCGCATGCAGGTACCGCGTTCCAGCCACGTCGCGGTCCACGCGCGGTTGTCGCCCAAATCATTATGCCCGTCCACTTGCGACTAGGACTTGATGTGTGCGGTCCTTGTCCTTCCGTCCCCCCCCCCTTTTTGCGCTCTTCCGCTTGTTGCTCGGGTCCTCCTTTCCCCCTTCCGTTTTTTTTCCTACCTAGGTTCTGCTTAGAGGGTTATTATTTTGTTTTTCCTTACCTAGGCTCTGCCTAGAGGGTTCTTACTCTCTTAGCTTAAAGGGGCGGGCAGTGTAAAGCGCCCCGGGCGGTTCCCCCAGTCCCCGCCCCGCCATTCCCCCAGGTACGTCCCCTTAGCTTAGCGTTGCTTATATCATCTT